GTAGCTCTAGTGGCAGATAAGATTAGAGAGAGTCGCCTTAGATGGTTTGGACACATAAACGTCAGCTTTCCAATGATTTGGTCAAAAGAGTAGATTTATTATATTTGTCCTATATTAAGAAATACAGATGTAGACCTAAAAAAACTTAGTTAGAAATTATTAGAAATAACCTTTTTATTATATTTAAATGAGAATTTGACTATTAACATGACACAAAGGAGAAAAAAGTTTCTTATAGTCGACCCCACGTAGTGGGATAATGGTTTGTTGTTGTTTTTATTGTTGTACTCCTTGTCCTAACAATAAAAAAATAACTATTATCAATTAGTCCTGGATGATTGTTACTAGCCAAAGGAGACATTCTTACAAATAAATCCTACACACTTCAAAATGTCCTCCATGTATATAAATTATTCACTAGCTTATTATCATCTATCCAAAGTTTACTACTATGGATGTGAACAAGTTTAGTCGAGTCGAGTATCTGCTTAATCGAGCTAAGTTTATTTAGTTATTACTGAGCTCGACTTGTTTACTAAGCTTGAGTTTAGCTCGTTGAAAATTTTGTAAGCTTGAGCTCGACTCGATTGCTCACACTCGATTTTTTTAGTTTTAAATTAAAATTTTTCAATTTTTTTAGAATTTTATTTTTAATATATAATTAATTTAAAAATGTTAAAATATATTATATAATGCTAATTTAAATTAATTTTAAAATATATTTTAAGTTAATTGAGCAATTCAACGAGCAAAAGAGCCAAGCAATGTGAGCTCGAGCTCGAGTTCATTTAATTTACAAGCTTGAGTACATACTCGAGCTCGAACTCGTGGCTCGATTAGCTCGACTTGTGAACTCATTAATGAGTTGAGCTCGAGCCGATTCAGCTCAATCTTGCGCCCCTATTTACTACATGATCAAAATGCAATGTTTATTTTACCCTTTATATTATATATTTTTGGGACATGGCATGCAGATAATTTGACTTGCTAAAGAAAAGATAGTCTCTATCATATTGAGAATCCAATGAATAAGGAAGCTCCACACTAATTGTAGTATTATCTTTATGAAATCTTTAAATCCCATCAAGAAAGGATTTGGCTCCAACACGTACATCATAGTAATCATTCTTTTGTTATTCTTATTTTCTTTAGTATTTAAAATTATTTATATTGAAGAATATCCTTATGATGTTTTTGAATTGACAAAATATAAATGCATTGGCTTTTTAATAAATAACATAAGAACCCAAATTTTTATTTCTCTCATTCATAATGGCTGGCATATGGGGACACCTAACATCTCTAGGGCCCAATGATTTGTATACTTTACTTATGACTACACTTATGCATAATGGATCTTTCTTCTAAAAACCAAAAGTGATGTAACTACTATTTTTCTCACATTTTTCAACAGATCAAAAATCGTTTTGGTGTTGAAATTACAAGTATCAGATCTGATAATGCCAAAACAAATGTTGTTATGCATAATGTTTGCATGTTACTTCACATGTAACTTTGAAAATACTTCTGTTAAAAATAAGCATGATTAACATAAGTTACTGTACAATTATACGGAGGTCTGACTATATTTTTATTATTGAACTTTCTAGTTCATATTTTGTTAAATTTTCATTGTTGTTTATATATATTCGTAAAGACAATGCCATTTTTCATATCCATGTCATGCTTGTCATGTCTACATTATTTCCAGCATGTAGTATCCCTGTCCTCGCTTCAGTTTCGTAGAGGTAAAAAAGTCGGTTTGCTGGTTTATACGAAGCCTTTGGAAGTTTTTTGTTTCAATGAATAAGATAGTTATTTGCAAGTTTTGGCATATTTTCATTTTTCATTGAATAAGTTATGGCATATTTTCATATCCATGGCTTGCGTCTCTTGTCTGCAGTATTTAGAGCATGTAGTATTCCTGTCCTCACTTCAGCCTCGTACAAGTAAAAGTGGGTTTGTTCACTTTGTTGGGTTATATGAAGCTTTTTGAAATTTTTTGTTTCAGTGAATAAGATATAGATGCAGAAGCTCATTGTCCACTATTTCCATACATAATTTTACATCCATTAGCAAAAACAATCTATGAAACTTAAACAATACATCATTTTGAAAACTTCTAGATTTCTTATTACAGCTTTTGAGGCATATAATGTTATAATAAAGCTAGAAGTCATGTAGGAGTGTAGTGAGCAAAACAAAAATTATAGTTTTTGATGATTGATATGATAGGCTAGGTAGTCAGAAAAGAGAGAAAGAGATATGGAAAATAGCAAGAACGTAGAGATCTAGAGATTTTGATGAAGTTTTCATTAAGTAAAGATAAAAATATTTTCATTAAATATGAAGAATTAAAGAAAGCTGAAAATAATTATTTTGGGGAAGGATTGAATTTTATTTTAAAGCACTCATTTTTTAAGAGGATAATGAAAAAAATAATGAGATATATCATAGATCAATCCAAAAAAACAAGTTAACTCTGAAGACGAAGCATGTAACAAAGCTTTAGTTTTGCATGAGATGCTAATTGAGATTAGTTGATGGGTGAAATTATAATAGTTTGATCATTAAAAATTTTTAATATAATTTTAAAGATTAAGAGAATCACAAATGATTGGTTAAAATTTTATGGTACTAGTATTAAGGATTTAAGGTACAATCAAGATTCTCAAGATTAGGGCAATTATAATTTATGAAGTATACATTTATATAAGAGAGGAATAGGATACCGATTGAAAAATTATCGAAAACAGAATTAATTTAGTTTCATATTAAGAGAATTTATAGAATAACATAAAGAGCATAGGAAGAAACTTGGAATGATTTTTATTTTTTTAAAAGGCATGGATCGAGTGGCAAGAGAATTTATTTGATGCACAACAAGAAGAAAAGCTGGGTCAAAGGTATGTTGAAGTTATTATATATATATATATATATATATATATATATTTGTATATATATATGGTGATTGTGAATGCCAAATAGTGTTCAAGTACTTTAAGATTGCATTATAGATCATCATTAAGCTATTTTTTGTATTAATTATAAATATTCTTACAAAGGATAATCAAAGTAAGATGATTTTGTATATCTTTTTAATGATAACATAGTTCTAATATATGGAATATTTGCTGAAATATATGACAAACTATAATACTGAATTAAATTTTTAGAAGATTAAAGACTTAAGATAACTCTGAGTATATGATATGTGATTTTAGAGGGTGTGAATTATTAGTCAGTAATATTGAAATATAAAGTGATATCTAAGTGCTAATGAATGAGATATAGACGATGATATAACTTTAGAGTTAATGGCCAGTAATTTAAATGAAAAAATACTACAATAGTATTATGCAATAAGAAAATATTATAAATATTTAACACGAAATTTAATAAAGTTACAATAGCTTGGTCATTTTAGATGAGTTTTAGTGTTGGCTTTAAAAACTAGCTATGCAAATTTAGGAATGATTATATAAAATGAATGATGGGAGCAACATCTTCTGAAGATAATGTAATGGCAATACACTTAAGTTATATGTAACATGTACAAAGTAGAGTAGAAAATACACCATTAATATGATTACCTGAAATTATCATCCAAAGATCAAGATGGAAAATGAGTAGAACAAACATAAGATGAATAGATATTTTGCAAAAAAAATATGTGCATGATAGGTTTAACACCGTATAAAGCATTCAAAATAATTGCATGCATAATGAGGATTCATAAAATCGTTCCCAAATAATTAGTATAAGGTTAATAATAATTGATAGGTTTAACACCGTATGGAGCATACAAGAGGAATACATGTATATAATGATGGTGATCATGATAATGATGATGATATGAAAATGCATTTAAGCGGTTTGCGACATGTACAACTAAGAGTGGAAAATACACCCATAATATGATTAGGTAAAATTACCATCCAATGATCAATATGAAAAATGAGTAGATCAAACATATCATAAATAGAAGTTTTGCAAAAGATCTATGCAAATTATATCTAACAACTTACGGAGCATTCAAGAGGAATGCCTGCAGAATGAGGAACTCATAAAACTGATCTCAAATAATTAGGATAAGGCTAATAATGATTGATAGGTTTAGTAACGTATGGAGCATTCAAGAGGAATGCATGTGTTAGACCGGTCCTCCTTGGACCGGTCCAGCCGGCCCAGCCCCTTGGGCCGGCTCAGTTCGTATACAGCAGGAGGAGCCGGCAGAAGTCTGGGGGGAGATTTAGGTGGGGTCCACTTGAAATTCAAATTGAATCTTGGAGCCAAAAGGAGGGGAAGCAAGGGTAATTAGGTCCTTTTGTATTATATTTGAATTGTATGCATTAAGTAGGGAGTAAAGAGAGGATTAGCGTTATGAGAGATTTTGGAAGAGTTTTCTTGTTCTTCTTTGGTGGCTAGGGCTCTAGATCGAATTCTAGAGATTAAGAGAGTGCGATCCTCCTCTCGAATAGAGGATCCTTGTATCTTTGCTATTTTCTTTGCGTCTACTAGTAAAATACAAGTCTTTTCTCCAAGGTTCTTGCAGATTTTCCTGTTTTTTTCTTCTGTTTTGGACTGTTTTCCTGCTGTGGACAGCAGTTTGCCTTGAGAGTTGTAGAAAAAGCGAATAGGAAATACTTGAAATCAAGTATTTCCTATCAGCATGCAGATAATACAAAAAGAAGATAGGTGTATTGCACTATTGCTGGTGAAAGAAAGTACAAAAAAACTGGAAATTGTCATGTTTAGGGTTTAGGGAGACTGCATACATCTGAACTGTTAGGAAAACATGTCATAAAAATTGGCAAGAATTTCTGCTTGCATCAGAACTGCAACCATGCCTTTCTATTAAAAATTGATTTTGAAAAGAAACTTCTCCCTCTAGTTGAGCATCGATATATTGGATAGCATATATCTTGAATCTATACCCATCATGCTATCCTGCTTGCGGAAACTTGGTTTGCATTATTGTAAGTGATTATTATCTACAGAATTAGTGGAGTAATTTTAGAGTTGGAGATGATTACTCAGTCAGAAGCCATGAGGAAGCGCTATCGGTACCTCAGCCACTTCTCATTAACCACGACATTTCAGGTTTTTTTTTTCTACTTATGCAATTTATAAATGTAAAATGCAGTAACATGATTCTGACATTTTAAAGAAATACAGCTCTGTGAAATTGAGCTTGCTGAAATCTTGCCCCCTACGTCCTTGGCCCCTTTCATGGATGAAATAAAGAAACGTGAAAAGCAGAGGAAAAAACTTGCAAAGAAGGTGCGTTCTCCTTTCGTGGCAACATAGTAAATCTGTCTCAAAGAACTTGTGTGTCATTGTAACTTTTATTTTTAGTTGTTCAGTTATGTTTGACTAAGAAGCTTAGTTTGCAAAATATGAGATCGGCATTAACAAACATTGATACATACGTACATATATGAATTTTTTTAACTAAATTTAAATGATTAAAAGTCATCTCTGACAAGCTGAAATGACATATAGATCAATGTACTTTATAAAATATGTGTATTATACTTTTGAAGGCTAAAATTTATGTAACTTTATGTCTTTTTTAAAGATATGAAAAACATAAGTTTTTTTCGAATAATATACTAAGTTAAGAAGCACTACGATTTGGCTTAATGCAGAAATATGTTAAATAAGCAGATAGAATTCGACTTAAATTTATTTTCATTTGTTGGCACAAGTTGTAATGTTCATTGAATAGATTTGGTATTTCTAGTCATTTTATATTTTTATAATCACCACAACAACAATAACAACATCAAGCCTTTGTCCCACTACGTGGGGTCGGCTACATGAATCCTTTTTCACCATTGTGTCCTGTTAAAAGTCAAATTCTCATTTAAATATAATAAAGAAAGATCATTTCTAATATTTTCTAACCAAGTCTTTTTAGATCTACCTCTACCTTTCTTAATATAAGTCAAATCTAAAACCTCAACTTTCCTAACGGGGTCATCGGAAGGCCTCCGTTTAATGTGCCCAAACCATCTAAGGCGACTATCTCTAATATTATCTTCCATTGGAGCTACTCCAACATTTTCACTGGAGCTACTTGATAGGAAATACTTGAGTTCGCAAGTAACCCTAAGGTAATACTTAAGTTCGCAAGCAATCCAACCCAAATCAGAAATCAAACAACAACAATATTGCTGTCCAGAACAAGAAAACAGCAGAAATCTGCTGTTTACAGCAGAGAAACAGCACTAGTCCGGGGAAATCTGAGAGAAAACTCAAAGAACGACTGATATTCCACTAGACGATGAATAAAACAGCAAAGATACAATTTGTTCTTCAATCCGAGAGGAAGAACAACTCTCCAATCTCCGGCAACGCCAAGAGCCCAAAGCAAGGAACTCTAGATCTCAAATTATAATTCCAATTCAAGATATCCCTTAATTCTCTCATTACTCCATAATTAAAGCTAAAGGAATTCAAAAATTCCCTAAACGCCCTTCTAATTCAAAAATTCCCTCCAACGAAATGTTTAATGCTTGCCTTGGCCCACCCCCTCTTCTGCCGCTCCTTCTGCGTGGTTCCGCCCGTCTTTGGGCCGCCGGTTGTGGAACCGGACCGGTCCAGCTGGGACCGGTCCAAGCGTAACACTATTCCATCCTCATCTCCGCAACACTTAACTTAGTATTATTCTTCTCTTTTAATGGCCAACATTCGGCACCATAAATCATTGCAGGTCTCACCACCATCTTATAGAATTTTCCCATAAGTTTGAGGGGGACTTTTCTATCACACAACAAGCCCGATGCATTCCTCCACTTCAACCATTCAACTTGAATTATGCTGATAATATCGCCATCTATTTCACCATCACTCTGAACAATAGATCCAAGATATCTAAAACATGTACTCTTATTAATGACTTGATTGCCCAAAGTCATAATCCCCTCACTAGGTCTATTGCTACTAAAATTATACTCCATAAATTTAGTTTTAGATCTACTAAAGCGAAAACCTTTGGACTCTAAGGTTGTCCTCCATAATTCAAGTTTACCTTCAACTCTCTCTTTAGTCTTATCAACAAGAAGAATATCATCAGCAAAAAGCATACACCAAGGTACATCCTCTTGCAAATGTCTAGTGAGAACATCCATGACTAAAGCAAAAAGATATGTGCTTATGGCGGCTGATCCTTGATGTAATCCAGCCGAAATAGGAAAATACTTGGTCAGTCCACCTTGTGTTTGAACACAAATAATAGCTCCTGCATACATATCTTTAATGATTTGAATATAAATATTATTAACTCCTTACTTTTCAAGAACTCTCCATAGCACTTCTCTTGGAACTTTATCATATGTTTTCTCTAAATCAATAAATATCGTATGTAGATCCTCCTTATTCTCTCTATATTTCTCCATCAAACCTCTCAATAAATGTATGGCTTCCATAGTAGACCTACCCGACATGAATCCAAATTGATTTTGAGAAACATTAGTATCACGCCGTAACCTACGTTCCATAACTCTCTCCCATAGTTTTAAAGTATGACACATTAACTTAATTCCTCTATAATTCGCACGCTTCTGTAAATCACCTTTATTCTTAAAAATAGAAATTAACACACTCATTCTCCACTCATCTGACATTTTTTTAGTCTTCAAAACAGTATTAAAAAATTTAGTAAGCCAAAAAATTCCTTCATCTCCTGGCATCTTTTTTTTTTCTTGTTTAAAAAAGAACTGGGAAGTTGTAGTGCATCTTAATCTTCTTTTTAGTTCTTCTTTGAATGTGTTCCGTGATAATTTTTGAATACTTGTAGTTAGCCAAATCTTGAAAAGGACCTGCTCTTCAATGATAGTCTCAGGCATTTAACGAGCTCTGTCTCTAAAAAGTAAACATGTGTTTTCTAACAAGTGGTTGTTGGGGTGTATATATATATATTTTTTTTTTTTTTTTTTTTTTTAATCTCAATAAATCTTCTGCCCCATGGTTTTCCTTTTATTTGCTTTTTGTAACCTTATAATCAGAAATCCATGTCAAAAGATGGATGAACATAACATAAAGAGAATAGTAAAAATTAAGTGAAAGTAGATGCACTGGTTCCGGCTTCACATGTGTTTCACTTTTCTCATTCAGACTAAAATAATTCTATCTTTAATTGTTTCTATTTGTATTGTGTTTCAGGAGCGAGATGAGAAAGTCCGAGCTGAAGCTGCAAACTGTGCTGAAGTTGCTTCTTTACGGGAGATGCTTAATCCAACAAACCAGAGATATTTAAGTGACAATGACACAATTTTCTCGTTGGATGAGTTTGAAGGTACATATCCTTGTGTTCTTGTTAATCTTTATAAGGCATTTTTTCCTTAAATACCTTGCAAATATAGATTAGCAACAGAGAACTTGGCGCACGAGTCTCCTAATATGAGATAATTTGAGCTTTTTATATCATGAAGAATGTTTTGGAGTGACACAATGAGCTTGGAAGACAGCGAGAACAATGAAACCCATCAGAAGAGGCCTTAGCCATTTTTCTATTCATTTAGTAGAAAAGGTTACATTGGGAGCACTTGGCTCCTGGTGTTGGGGTTACAGCGCACTGCCCCCTCTATTATGGTTATTGGGGCCACAAGATGGGAAAAAATGCCCGTACAATGTTGCATTCAATATTTATAAAGGACCCTGTGGTTTTCAAACAAGGGCCTTAGGTTGCATGAGGTTTGTGGATGTTTTTATCATCTTAATGACATATCCTGCTCCTCTTTTTTTTTTTTTTTTGTTGTTGGTTCCTTGTCTTTAGAATTCTAGAGTTGTTCTACCTTATTGATTAGGGCAGAAGCATAGGTTCATAAAATCGTGTGGCCTGTGTTATGTGGTCGATCCAAAGAGAACCAAATTGGTTCTTGCCATGATGATTGAGAAAGTGCCCTCCATGCTTTCCTCCACCACTCCCTTTTGGGATCACCAAATGTCAATCACTCATGAGGTTGGAAAGTGCACTAGAGATTGTTTGTTGGGTCCCTTGCTTCTTCTTATTGGATTATCATCTTTATCCACTGCTTCCTTGAGCCGATGTTGTGGGGTTCCGTTTTTTGTGAAACTCGGTCTCATAGTGTAGACTAACAGTGTTTTATGCTATCAGGTTGAGAGGCCCAAGCTCCTTGAGTGCCCTCAGTGGTTTTTCTTTACTTCTAGATGCAATGGTGGCTAGGTTAAGCATGACTTTAGACCTTGATGTTGCTTCATCATTCTCGACAATATCCGGTATGATATTATAAGCGACACCTGAAATGGTGCACAATGAATTAACCAAGTAAAAAAATTTGAAAGGAGGGGAAGGGGGAGTGGTGGGATGCTGCGGGTGGTGTGTTTAATACTACGCGGCCCACCCTATAACTGTGTGATAAGTTTTTCTCCTATTCTAGATTTGTGCTTCCTTTCTATTTGTTTTTTGTCTAGTGTTGCTTATCTACAAGAAATGATAAGTTTTTAGATGGTGTTTTTGATTTCCTGAAATCGGTCTTGTTTTTAGCACTAGGTAATGGTGTTGCGCCAACAACAAACCCTTCCATGAATAATACAAGGAAACTGTTCTCCAATGTAACTCGCCTTGGATTTGCTGCGGCTCATGATTCTCCAGCTCTAAGAGCTGAGGAGTTGGGTGATTCATCAGGGAGCATGAATGCTACCCAAGAAGCTTCACGTTCTCAAGGTATACCTCATAACTGTTCACAAGATTATATCTCCTAAAAACGTTTTGCACGTTGTAAATACTTGGCTTTGTGAAAATTTTCTTCAGGTCGTTATAAGCTTTACATTTTGTCTTGTTAACATTTTCTCAACTTTTTGTGTGTTTTCAATCTTATACGAGCATCCGATTGGACTTCTGATCTATAATAAAAACTTCTTGTTTAACAAAAAGTAATTTTAGTCGCAAACCTTAGAGTGATTGTAAGGGTACCTCTACTAAGACTTAAAGGGCACTGAAACGATCTCTTTTTTTCTTTCCTTTTTTTTTCTTTTACCTGCAAGGATAATATTGTACCACGACGACTCCCTTAACCTTATATTGATAGAAGCCTCGTATTATTGGGAATACGCTTTTTGTTTTTGTTTTTTTAATGAAAATTTTGCATTATGCATTCATATGTAAAGAAAATATAAAAATATGGGCAACAAAAAAGCTCTAAATGTGTACATGTAAGTACTATCTTCCCTAAGGATATCAAAAAAACTCTCTAGGAACAGACTATTTGCAAAAAAACCAACAAAATTACAATTAATTGCCTTATTAGCACAAAAATTTTGCCGCTGCATTATGTCTCCTGGGAATGTGATGAAACAAGACTTTATGAAAAAGATGAATCTAACTCAATTCATCTCCAAATTGTGGTCGGTCTCCCACATGTTCTATTTTTACACTGCTGCATGAAATTGATAATACTTGCATGTCTTCTTCAACTATGATGCCTTTTTTCTCAAACGTCCAATCAGCTAGGGATTTGAATGCAAGTTTATCCACCTATCTGCTTATTAAATACTTTATAGGTCTAGAACATTTCAATGTATGTTGAAATCTCAAACGGCAGCAGCTTGTTAATGGTAGTATACGTAATTTAGATTATTATTTATAAACATAAAATAATTCATTATTATTATATGCTTTCATGAAAATGGTGTACTTTCTATGAAAAGTAGGGAAAATTTGGAAATGTAGATAGTTGTTAATATGCATGATATACATTATCATAATCAAAATTCTGGGTATTGATATTCGTATTGTGGAACCAAATACTGGCCAGATTTTGTGGATATAATTTGAGATTTAGCAGTGACCTTTTAACCATTTGAACTGTTGATTCAAAATAAGATGATTAGGGTTACTTTTAAGTTGGGTTCAACCATGATTTGTGGACTGTAATAGTTCTGTTTTACTCTTCATCTGTAGTGCAAAAGCCTAGTGAGAAGATGGAGATGTGAAACAAATTTGTGGATAATTTATTTTTAGATTTGAGAAATGAACCAAATCCAGCAGAGAATAACCTTTATAAGTTTCTCAAATTTCATATATATATATATATGATGATGAGGTCATCGATAGGAGATTTCGGCGCGTCTATCAGAGACGACCACGGAGATCGACGGCCATGATTACTAGCCTTTATTTTTTATTTTATTTGTACCATCAGTTTTCATATTATGCTTTTATTTTCGTAGTTTCCCATTTTACCCCTGAGGGTAGTAGTTGCTTTTGTAGCCCCAAGGGGCATTTTAGACTTTGCACTTTATTTTCTTTGGGGCCTATTTATATGACCATTGTATCTTGTATGAGGGGGATGAATTATTGATAATGAAATTTTCTACTATTGATCTCTTTGTGAGTTCTCCATTTCCCTAGTTCTCTTCGTGAGTTCTTGAGGGAATTCCGTGGATCTCTGTGTGAGTTCCGGCATCGTTGCAATTTCTCTGTGAGATCTTGAAGAAGAGGTGTGAGGTTAGAAGATTCCAAGTTTTCTCCACAGATTACAGCTTGCTTTCCAAGCCCTGAAACCCTCTCTCACTTTCCTCCTGCTGTCGACTTTGTTTGTCCGGCCAGAAATTGGCCGCTGGCCAATTGGTCTCCCTCCTCCAAACTGCAGCCGATCCCACTCCCTCTTCCAGGCCCGCCTCACGCCAACCCGCCAGCCATTATCCCAGTGAATTGAAATTCAATTTCAATCAATCCAAATTCTTTCCTAATCTACAGCGGGCTCCATTAGGCAAGCAGCTTTTATTAATTTTTCTTTATTACCTGTTGTATGCCACGGATCCCAGGGCTTAATAACCAGCATGAAACTTTCCTAATATAACAAATCTGAAAATTCAAATTTCAGATTTGATATTACCGTGATCTATATTCTAGATGGCCCACTCCAATAATATTAATTGCCCCTCTCCACAATTTATGGCCAGCCCTTGAATGGCTTTCCTCTCTCCCCAAATTAAATTGAATGCTCTACAAAATCAGCCCCTAATCTCTCCTTAATTGAAATTTTCAATTAATGCAATAATTACATTAATTGAAATTTCAAATCCCTCAATCCCTCCCTCCTAATTTCACAAAACTGAAAGTGAACTTCAGTTTTTTTCACTCACCCAGCCCGCCTACCTCCCTGTCCTCCCGCCGGCTCCCCTCTCCCTTCGCCAAGCCGCCGCCCCACCTGTCCTCTTTGAGAGATCTTGCTTGCGGCGACTATCCGGATCCACTCCAAGGATGCATGGATGAACCCGAGTGGAACTACGGGTTTGAATACGACCGCAACGGAAGAGTCAACATCTTGCGATCACAATTCTTTGACGTTGGATTTGACTTCGACGATACCGTCAAAGAATATTTGAGCCGCATCGTGCCGACGCTCATAGACTCTATCGACAAACACTTCTCCGTCTACACTTGGCTTATCAAAGGTCGATCTACCGTGCCTCCTCCGCCTCCGAGATCTTCTTCCACGGTAACGTTCCTTGGCGCTTCCATCTTAGTGGCAACCTCCATGCTAGCTTGGACAATCTTCCGCCGTTCAACTTAGTCTTCGTAGGAAGAGAGCATTAAAGGCCTCAAAGTGTGAACAACGTGGTATTAATCGTGGGATTCTATTTACTAGCTTTTGTTTTATGTTTTCTTTTGCAATTGCTTAAAAGACTTGGCTCTCTCTTGTATTTTCTTGCCTAGCAATTTAAACATTGCGAATTTCTTATAATTTGCTTGACTTTGATGCATGATTAAATAATTGTGGAGCTAATATTTAATTTTCTTTTAAAGTTGTTGTGTAACTCCCCATTGCATCACATCATATGATTTGCTTAAAAATGCTATATCTTGTTTCATAACAATTACTTTTTACAGGTCGAAGTACTGCCTCTATACCACCGTCATTTGCTAATATCTTATCGTCTACCAAAAATGAGGGAGGTCTAGAGATACAGAACTCAAATGGGATTGCCAGGAAAGGAAAGAAACCCAACAAGGTCCTTTTATCCACTACAGGTGGGCGGAGATATTGAATGCTATAGACGCTGCTTCCCAGCCAACTTATGTACCATACCATAGCGTGTAAATTTGGTTTGAGAACGATATCTTTGCCCAAATTAATTTAAGAGTAACACTTTTGGTATCATTTATTTGTCCTTCTGTTCACTAAATTTTGCATTGAAGTGGTTTTGGGGGTTGATATAGCTTGCTAGATGGTTGCCTATTGTTCATATGTGTGGATTTATAGGATTGTTTCCGTGAGCACCTACTTTGCATTAAAACGTGTCTCCCGTGCATTAATAAGTGGAAAAAATAAGCTCAACAGTCTTAGTATGAAAAAAGTTTTCCTTCGGTCATTTCCACATGTAAAGTTGACAGGCAGATTGTGATCACCTCAGAAGTAGTTGGATAAAGAAATCTGTGAGGAGTCTGTTTGATTTGAATATGTCCATGTGACACATCTGCCTTACTAGCAAGTGATCTTAAGGTGAAAGTATGGAGAGTAAATACATTGCGGGTCCTAGGATGGACTAACAATGAATTTAGAGAATGATCTGGAAAATATGAAATTGAAAGTTCCACAAAGGCTTAAAAGGTTTGAAAAGGTCCAAGAGATCTAAATGATTCCATGTATGCCTATCCACCATTTATTTACAAAGTTGGGTCATAGAAAAGGCACCAAAAAATATTAAAAAAATTGTACAAAATAAAATAAATGATGCGACTCCTTATAGACTCATGGATACGTAGCATAGCTAACTACCTTGCACGTGGATCTCTGCTTATAATATGACTCATGGTTCCTCCAGGTGAGTCTCCATAGGTAATTATAGAGGGCAAGTCCTCAAGTCTTTGATGTATGAGGTGATCCTATTGGAGGGGAATTCTTTGGAAGTGCGTGGCAAGTTCATCTTAGGCGAGATTTGGACCTTTGAAAGCAAAAGGTGAGCTCCTTTGGTGGAGAGTGGTTGAAGGGTAGGGACTATCCAAACGTGAGAGATCGTTGTTGCAGCTTTTGTGTTGTGTGTATTTCCTGTAGTGGATGATGTCAGAGGTTTCAAATAAATTTGGCAATGGAGAGTGTTCATGGTTGAATGATTCCTATGGAGATGAGTGACATTTATTGTTTGAACCAATATGGATGAATTCCCTTGGGAGATTAGCTGCATGTAGCGATTCCTTGGAAGGACCAGTTCAGGCGAGTTCACCTATTGTGGATTTACTAGGAGAGTGGCCATGCTTCTGCAAGGTGGTGCCAACGAACTTGTTAGCTGACTTCTTTATCTCATGGTGAGTGCTCATCTTGAGAGATATGAGCATTCAGGCCAAGTCCTTTTTGAGGACCCGCTAGATAAATATGTAGTACTTATATAGGCTTGTACAAATATACATTTAATTCCTAATTCACTTGAAAGATGTGTTGTGAAAAGGATAAGTGAATTAAAGATGAGCATACAATTATCTAATCAAACAATAAAAAGAGAAAGTAAAAATTATTGTCTTGTGTTATAAATTCCTTATTATAACATTAATTTGATCCAGTACGCTATCATTTTCTATAAATAGTGGCTCAAAGGATTCGGTGATACTATATTACTTCTTCCTTATTTTGAAGGTTTTTATCTACTCGCTTGAGATGGACAATTTTGACCTTTCTAAATTGGCCAAGTCAAACTTTAAGAGGCTGAAGAAGATTTTCATGTGCAGAAGTAGACTAGAAGAGGATGAAGTGAAAGGGTTGGTCCTCTAGTGATTAAGAAAGAAATAATCGGCGCAAAGGTGTGCTTGTCTACTAATCCAAGGGTGAATGAGCATGTGATGACTGTGCACAAGGAGGTGGAGATTATGGAGGCAAACAAAGCACCATCGATTCGAGGGGGCCTATTGGAAAGTAATTCTCTCCATCAGTTTAGACAATATTTCTTTGACATTGGGGTGAGTGTGGGACCCCTCCCCCAATTAAGTGACCTGCTTTGAATTGTTGACTTATGCTAAGACTCTACCCTGTCCTATAGTGCTCAAGATGAAGGTAATAAGTTGGGTCTGCCTAACTTTGAGCGAGTTGTTGGGACACCCTAAGTGAGTTTGAGGCCTTAGTTTTAACACGGTGAGCACCCGACTTATATATGAGGATGATAGTTTTGCATATCAGACTGCTAACAATCCCTAAGTTTTCTAGACAGAGATTGTTGTTGTTGATTCTTCCTTATTTGCCACAGTAGTTGCTCCCCTAGCAACGGCCAACGGGTACCGCGAAACAGTGTGCTCAATCTTCAGTTGAGGTTGATGCTATGGTGGAGGTTGTTGAGGCATCGAAGGGAAGCAATGTTGAAGTGTTGGTGGTTCCTCCTTCAGCTCAAGAATTGCCCAAGGCTCAAGTTGCGATGACTATGGGAGTCTTTACCTTCTTCACCTCCTCTGGCGGGCCTTACCTTGAAGGGCCTTGATGTCGAAGGTCCTCAATGTCGTAGGCATGCTCGGCGAGGCTCAGGGAGCTTCATAGAGGATGGTTGGAGGAAATAGTGAGGTTCCATCCGGCCAAGAGATGTAGACACTCAAGCGGAGATGACGACTACTTGCCATCTCGACAAGGGCAACTCAGTTCATTGTTGGTGAATGCTTCCTCCTTACTAAGTAAAGAAGGGGATGTTAAGTCCCGAGTTAATATTGGATCCTATATGTAAGATCTTAGTGCATACAGTAGGTTTGTCCTTGCCTTTAATGTAAATGGATATTCTTAGTAAAATTTTGTTACATAGAGTACATGTCCAGCGAATTTTTATTTCTTTTTTTTTTTTACCTTGGTTTATAACGACGTCATAGTAACATGTGTGTTGAACACTTATTCCTCCCTTGGCAATCCTTAGATGAGTTCTTGAATTATCTTTTTAGCTCTATGTTAAGGCGAATTAGATATGAATCTATGCGTGATGAGTTGGTTATCATATTGAATGTGGCATGTTGATGGCAATGGCTAACGAGGAATGAGGCAAGTTAATTTTGATGTATCGTGAGGCAAGATGCACTCAAATGTATTGCTTTCAGGGTTTAGGCAACTCGATTATTCTCATGATGATGACTTTGCTTGAGGGCGAGTAAGAGGAAATGCACTTAATCTTCCAATAATTATGAACATATTGATACAATCTTGAGCATTAATGACTTCTTCTTGGACCTTGAGATTGAGATTTGTGGCATTGCTTTCTCTATAAATACACACCCGGTTAAGCTCGAGAGGCACAACTTTTGTCTCTTGCACTTGGCATTGAATCTTGTCACTCTTCGGTTAGTGCTAGTGTAACAGCTCAAACTTTTAACTATTGAGGTATTGTCCATTTTGGTTTAATGGCCACACAGTTTTGTCCTTTTTGTGTAACTTCCCAGGTCATCTATCATAGAATTTCTCTCATACAAGCAAACTTAAAAACATTGAAGTTTCTTTATGAAAGTTCAATCTTTGTATCAAAAGACGCTTCGATGTTTAAAGAGTTTAGCTTTTTTTTTTTTTACTTGAGGTTTCACTATCTCCCTCTATTAACTGACGCCCTCATTAGTATCCTTATTCTAGAATCATCCACTTCATCAGTATTGATTGATGTGCTGTAGCATCAGCCTTCTTTAATACCAAGTCGTCGAGACAAAAGAATTTTCTTTTGATACTGGCATTTCAGTATTGGAGTTAAAGTTTAATTGGTAGCATGGCCTCGGCACTGTGCGAGAGTGCGAATAGTCCCTAAACAGTCATTAAAGATGGTGTTCTCAGTGCTCCCAGTCGCCCTTCTACTTTCTTCGTAAGGAGGTTAACGAAAGTTCAATATTTTCACATCAAATTTTTTGAGTCTGACTTAAATTTGAAATTTTCCGCATCTTCTAACTAAAAAATGTGCAATGCGACTTGAATCATACCACTGCAGCGTTTTCAAAGGCTGATAGCGTTCCAATACACTTATCTGCTTCAATATCGTGATGTATGTCTCTAAAAAACGAAATTACGTCTTCTTCATATTAAAATTTTAGTTCTCTCACTGTTCTAAGAGCTTCACAATTTATAGACTTTGCTGTGAGGTTTAAACGCAGTGATATATTCAAGATATACATCATCTGTGCTCAGTCTTCTGATTGGAAACTTATGATATTGAGTTTGTTCATTCGATTGAGACTGTAGCAGTCATTTGCACCTCGTCTTCTGTAAATATGTTCTTCTCTTTTAGCCATTATTTCTTTAGGAACTTACCTGAAACATTTAAACTTGTGATTTGAGTTTACTAAGTAAACTCAGTGGGTAACTATTTTATAATCATTATTATTATTCTTTAATAGACATCATGTTATTTCTTTACATTAATTCATTCTTTTCAATTATTTACATCTCTAGATGATTTCTTTCAAAACAATTTAAAACATTTTATAGCTTTAATAATTCATTCATATTTCTTTTCTTTTCTTTTGCTTTACACAGGAGCACCGTCTCAAAGTACCCTAAGGTACAACCTTTTTCCATTTGATTACCTTTTCCATTTCCATGGCCTTTTCCATTTCCATAACATTTTCCTTTTCCTTTTTCGTGCACGAGTACGGCGTCCCCAGCCAGTACAATAAGGGGGTGAACTCCTGAATTATTCATATATATCTATCCTTTTTCCCATGGTTTAAAATTGCGCAATATGAGGCTCGCCTTGAGGCCCGCCTTTGCGCAATTCCAGTAAAAAACGCCTCAATGCTTACGCCTCGAGTTTTTTTAATGAGGCTTGCGCCTCAACTTGGTTGAGGCCCGCCTCGCCTCACTGGCATAAGGCTAACGCCTCACGCTAAATATATTAAAACTTACATAAATCTTGAAGTAAATGCCCGACATTGGACCCTATAGGAGAGGAGGAAGGGGAGAGAGCAGTTCATCATAATGATGGTTCAAATGAAGAACCCCTTAGTGATGACAGTGCTGATGACTTATGAGTTCTTATGTGATATGTCATTGCTATTTATTTTTGGAAATTTGAATTATATGTTAATGAAAAGAATACTGGGATTTGGAAAGATAGAATTTTGAGTTGAACTATATTTCATGTTGTCTTATTATTGGGATATTTTGATTTCACTTCATATCTTATGCTTTTTTATGTTTTATATTATTCACTCATTAGTATATA